CACGATTTACCTTGCGCTAAGGTACGTATGGCTGAGCGCTCTACACTCTGCGCCCTCTATCTCAAAAACGATTAGACGTATAAAAAAATGTTTTTTACAAAACTTGTAGATAATTTTATGCTCTACAACTTTTATAATAAATGCAAATACGCTAGGAGGCAGAGAAAACGAGATATTCTCAAAAAACTGATTTTTGCGACCTTTGACCTTGAATATCTAAGGCCGCTCACACGCTGGCATATGTGACTTTTGAGACAACATTTGTAATGCTAAAATAAAGGTTCGTACAAAAATTCAGCTTATTCCGTTAGATTCCGAGGTTGGTCCCTTTTTTTTACTAAGATGACTGTACTAGTCCAGTCATCTAGGCATTTCACCTCGGAATCCAACGGAATAAGCTGAATTTTTGTACAAACCTTTATTTTAGCATTGCAAATGTTGTCTCAAAAGTCACATATGCCATCGTGTGAGCGGCCTTAGATATTCAAGGTCAAAGGTCGCAAAAATCAATTTTTTTAGAATATCTCCTTTTCTCTGCCTCCTATCGTATTTGCATTAATTATACAAGTTATATAGAATAAAATTCTCTACAAATTTTGTTAAAAACATTTTTTTATACATCTAATCGTTTTTAATAACGCATAGATTAACCTTTTCAACATTTTTACTAACCGACCAAACTATCGATTAAAATAGTGCCTAAAATGAAAATAAAAAGAAATAATTAAAAAAAATTGATTCATTTGATGATGTCCTTCTGTCAATAACCAACCAAAAAACAGTCTAGATCCTTCTGGGAAAACCCATGCTGAATATGTCTAAGAAATCTAGATCATCTAGATACTGTTATAGTAATATAATTTACTATAATTTAATCTTCCAATTTTTTACCTTTTACCAATTAATCCGGCCCTGCTTAGCAACAGCTAGCTGACTACGAGTCAGTCCAACCAGAGAGTTAAGTTGAAGGGTAACCGGCATCCACGAAACAGACAAGGTACCCAAAATTTCCCTTTACATTCTTAATTCGAAGAATATGACAAAAACAGTAGGCGATTATGTAAACAACTGTATCATATGTAAATCTGTTCAAAAATCTGCACCACTCGAAGCCCACTCACCATTATTCCCATTCGAAATCCTTTCAATTGACATTCTAGGACCTTATCCTGCTACCAGAAACGGAAATAAATACATCATATGCGTACAAGACGTGTTTACACGTTGGGTAGAAGCGGAACCCTTTGATAAAGTAGACGGAAAAACTAATGAAGGCTTTTTGAAGAAATAAATTTTCAACCGATATGGGTTCCCAGCCACAATAATATCCGATAATGGTCCCCAATTCTTATCATCATCATACCGAAACATGTACAACCCAGTTGAAAGAAAAAAATCAAGAATTAAAGAATATACTACGTACTTTGTTAATAGATAAAGGAGATACAAAATATTCAGAAGCAGTAAGAATTACACGAACTCCCAAAAATGCAGCCACCAATGTTACACCTACGAACGCACTGTTTGGATACGAAGCTGCTAGACCAGGTGAATGGAATACAGAAACATACCATAACGAAAGAGACAAAGACAACGAAATGCCAAGAACAAGACTAAACCAAATAATACCTGACAACCAAATAAAATACCAAAACAAATACACTAACACGCAAGAAAAACCCGAAATAATCTTTGAAGAAAATGATGAAGTCATGGTCAAAGAAAATCGTCAACAAAAACTTGCCTTTGCCCCTGTATGGACAGGACCTTACCAAATTATCAGGGAAATCAGTGACCTGGTTTATGAAGTACAACGCGATGGAAAGAAGTTCTTAGTCCATATAAACGATCTACGAAAAGCTCCGGATGGGAACAGCCTACCAGAGGACTCTGAGTCTGATAATGCTTTAAGTGATTCCGACGACGACACAAACCAAGGCCCAACCAACATCGACATTGCTGATGAATTCCATGTAGAAGAAATGGGTTCACTCACAATCACACCGATTTCTTCACCCAGGCCAAATACATCATCCCAAGTAGCAAATGACTTTGCTAAAACAAGCTCCAACCAACCAGTATATGCAGATGCAGTCACCAACAGGCAGTTCAGAAAGTCCAACTCCATGCTACAATTTAAGAAAGAGAATCCAGGCACCTAATTCGTGCAAACGTTGTAAATGCCATGATGACAAATATACCAAGAAGATGAAAAACAAAACAAAAATAGACTAGCCAGTTTCTAAATTTTCTGGCAAACAATTTGTATGATTTTAAGTTTCTTAAATAAAGATGCTTGCAGGGAAAACTTGCCTTCAAAGTGCGGGGGTGTTATAGTAATATAATTTATTATTATTTAATCTTCCAATTTTTTACATTTTACCAATTAATCCGGCCCTGATTAGCAACAGCTGACTACATCCCGCTGCACAACAGCCCGGTAACGTGAACGGGAACCTAAACGGTAAAGGTGGGAGACTCAGCGAACCCTATCTACCAAAAATGGTTTTTTAGTCTCTCCCACCTTTAATGTTAAGATTCCCGGGGTTTATTTTAACAGTAGTTTAGAGGTATTTAAACAAGGATTAATTTAGAAAATATAGTATCATTTAACGATTTAGTTGATAAGACGCTTAACCAATCCTCCCCTTTAATTTCTTTGTCTAAAATTATGCTTAATAATACCCTTAACCATGCGAAATCCTTAATTTTAGAGGATATATAGAATAAGTTTAATAATTTAGTTCCGCATAGTCGCAAAAAACGAGGTTTAATAAATATTATAGTGTGTTGACCCGCCCTCCGTCAAACGAGAAAAACGCAACCAAGAATACATCTACACGTAAAGCATCCTACCTATTCGAAATTAGACATTTAAATTAATGTTAAGTTTTTAAAATAATGCAGCGTTGCCCTTTCTTAAAAATACTTGAATTATATAACGTTTAATTACTTGGGTTGTACGGTTTGGTATTTTATGAATATTTCAAATGGGGTCCTGTTTAACCGAGCGCGCTAAAGCCGGCCCTGTCGCGGTAGGTTGGGGGGGATCGAGAACAAGGCCGAGCGGCAGAATAAAAGCAACAGGTGAAGGTGAAGGGCCGTCCGAGTGAGTCGTGGGTTTTTGTGTTGAGAAATAAACCTTGTAGGTAAGCTAAAATGATCCTTTACCTTGTTTAAATTAACTAACTAAGGTGGTTGTATCCTTTAACCAAGTTTAATAATGTAGATTTGTTGTGTTTTGGGGATATTTAGCCGAGAGTACGTTACGCGTCTCTTTGCTCCGTAAGATGGCGGACGGGCGTGAAAAATGCTTGTCTAATGTATTGTGCCTGCTCGCGATAGGGAAGAGGGTTATAGGAGGTATTATTATTATTAAATAATGTAATCTAATCTAATCTCTTCACAAGACTAGAGCTCGCCAATAGAGTTCCTTACCGACAAAGGGGTCATACTGTGAGATGTAATATGGAAACTATGCATTTATTATGTACACTGTAGCGGAATATGTTTAGATAGCTATAAAAGGTTTCAATACCCTAGACAAAACGGTTTGCATCCAATAATATTCATTTTATAACATGTTGTATTGTTGGGAGGGGTAAATTGTACTTGTAACATTTGATAAATCTGCTTTATTAACGCTTGATATGACAAAGTCCAAATAACAAACGCTAACTAAAAATACCAATATTCAATAAACACTGCAATACATAAAACGCTAACTACCGTCAACCAAACCTTTGTAAAAACTCCATTGTAAACAAACAATGAATAGAGAAAACATACAACCAAACTTATTGTGTTTTATTACCTAATCTGGTCTCCTCTCATTGGCTACTCCACCTATCTAGAAGCGAACTAAAATAACACAACTAGACGATCACTTCTTTTGGCCAAACTTGACAACACTTAGTTCGCGCGATTCTTTAAATCGCCTTGGGTTACTGCCGTTTGCATGAGTATGGGGTACCACCACCCCGTGCCCATCACAATAGGTAAAACTTCTAAATGGCTCTTCGGCACTTTAAATTTCGATGATGAAACTAAATACAATAATGCAATTTTGGAACTTCAAAATAATCAAAATTGTATTTTAAATGAAACATCCTTAAGAGTAGCGTGCACGCTTTTATACCATACAAAATAAATTTTAAAACTTTTAAGTGCATAAAAAATATATGCAAAAATATTTTATCAAAGGGTTCCGCTTCTATCCAACGTATAAACACGTCTTGTACGCCTATGATGTTTTAATCGACGGTCAATTTCAATTGGGTTGAATTAATTTTAATTGGAAAATAATGTTGTCACTTTTAAATTAAGATTTAAATCGGTTTTAATCGAATTTCGATTTCGTCAATTTCAATTGGTATCTCTGGTTTCTCAGTTCTATGATAAAAGAAAGGCTCGAGCCTTTAGCTTTCTTTCATATCCCCAGCTTTTGCTGTAAAGTTTCCTCTTATTTTCCTTAATTAAAATTGAGGAAGTAAAACGCCGATTAAACATATTCACCAATTCATACCAATTGAAATTGACGAAATCAAACGTCGATTTAAAACGATTAAAATCTTAGTTCAATACTTAAGAAGCAAAAGGGTACAAGTGCATTTTAGCATGAAAATAAGTTAAGTGTAAAATTGGGTAGTTTAGATTCCAATTGTTTTATTAATTTTCTCATGTGAAAATTGTACCAGTTCTGCATGTTGATTAATTCAATTCAAACAACAATATTGAAACAAGTATCCAGATTTTTGTATATAGCAAAAACTTTAAAAGTTAATCCCTCCACTTCTCTTTTTTGCACTTGTACCCTTTTGCTTCTTACCCCTTCAATTAAAAATAATTTAAATTATATTTTCTATTAAAAATTTTATTTATTGTAAATGCAAACGATTCTAACCAATACCAAAACAAAATTTAAAATAATAAAAAACGATTGATATTTTGTAATGGTGTCAATGGGATATTTTAGAAAGTAAGGGTAAACAAAGGCCTACCTATATGGTTTTTGATCAGCTTTTTCAACGTCCAAAATTATTAATTGATTAGATTTTGATTTATAATATTTTTGAGCATACAATAGAACGCCTTCGTCTGTGTACCACGTAACTTCTGGGGGGGGTTTGGCTTCTATTTCAGGTAGATCAATTACTACTGTTTGTCCTTCTTCTACAGTAAGGCTACGCTCTGTTTGATCTTTAAAAATATTCATGTCTAAAAATTATTTTATATGAATAGAAATTTTTAAACAAAATAGAAAATAACACATTTTATTTACATAGGCAAAAAACTTACAGGCGACTATTATTTGAATTTCTTCACTGACTATGGATCCTATTTTATTAGATGCAATGCATCTGTAACTTCCCTCGTCTTCGTGTTTTGCAGAAATAATTTTATAAAAAGGGTCAGTTGAAAAGTCAGTAATAGGTTTACCATCCTTTAACCATCTGTAATGAGGTGGTGGATGACCTAAAATAAGTAAATTAATTTATTAATTAATTAATATTATTAGTTATTTTTTTAGAAATTCTATAACTATTAATAATAACAATAATAATAAACGTAGTACTATTGCAAATTATGGACAATATTTATTTTTTATATAATGGTAGCCAATAAAACCTCATAAAAACTCATTATTCACGTTGTTAAGCATCAGTGATAGGCTGATTTTAATATTCATTGTGATTTAAACCAAACAAATTTTAAATTGGGAAAATGTAACTTTTTCACAGATGTAATTTTTATATATATACGAGGGGCGACTATAATGATCCTTAAAATCGGGAGATAATAAGGTTATAATAAATGCTCTTACGCAGTACAGAAAATATTTTTTTTATAAAAAAATAAAAAATATATAGTTCAAATGTATGGCTTATAAGCTTATACTTATAAATGAGGAGCATCCGTGCAAAACCGGCTATATCCATTTTAATAAAATGTTGGGAAATGGCAAAAACTCTCCGTTTCCTGGCTTTTACCGATAATAATAATAATAATAATATTAAGTTTTGTGGACACAAAACTCAAGATGCATTTTTTTGGGCAGGAAAGGTCAGGAAACAGGGAGTTTTTGACATTTTTCCAACATTTTATTAAAATGTATATAGCCGGTTTTGCACGGATCAATTAAAGACTATAACAAATTTTTAATAAAAAAACTTAACGGCACGGTCGAACCTGTTAAGAGAAAAATATTTTAACTCTTCTGGTTTTTTACTGTAAACTTTAAAGCCCCCTAATTAGGCTTGTCCTGCGGGACGCAAAAAATCCCGGATTTACTCAAATTTATTAATTAGAAATATTAGAAAGTTTATATAACATCTCAAAATAATGTCCCAAAAGCTTAAAAAAAAAGAAAACAAATATTTAATATAGCAATAACAGTATATAGAGCAGTCCTCGCCAAATCGACTTCATATTTCCGATTTGCTTCAAATTTTCAGGGTCGATAGACGAAGTAAAGTAAGGGAGAAATCTAAAATTTCAACCTCTTTTATGCATTTTTGTGGTTTTACATGATAAACAAAAAAAAAGTCGATTATTTAAAAACCCGAAAGTAAAAAAATTCGAAAAAAATCAAATAAACATATTTGTTGACGCTCTATAATATAAAATAAAAATAAAAAAATTTTGTTAAAATTTTTTTAAAAAAAAATCCAATTTTTTTTATTCAAATTTAAATTCCCAAAAAACGCCACCTCAAATTAAAAAAATTATGATGATAGCCCTAAATTTTCCGCAAATTTTGACTACTTATTTTTGGGGGGACTCAAAAACTGTAGAAGTTATGATTTTTTTGTAAAGAAATGCATGTGAAATCGTCGCTACAGATCCAAGCCTACGCGTAGCTACGCCGCGGCGCGCGGTTCCGAGACTAACGAAGAAAAAATGATTCTCTCTCTCTCTCTCTCTCTCTTTCTCTCACACACACATTAATATTTTTAAACTATATTTTATTAAAACTCCAAATTATTTTTTTTTTCTAATTTATTAAAAAACACAAAACAATCAAATTAAAACATAGAGAAAGAGAGAATCGTTAAACCATTTTTTCTCCATTAGACCGAGCGCACGTCACTCTGAACCGCGGACCGCATCGCAACAAATCCAAGCCTACGCGTAGCCTACAAGTAGCGACGATTTCACATGCATTTCTTTACAAAAAAATTCATAAGTTCAGTCCATGTCTGACGGTGCAACTTCTCGCGGCGACTTTGTTGCGGCGACCAGTTGCAGCGAATTTCACACGATACAACCAAATTGACGCTATTTTCTTCTAGGATTGCTAACTTAACCCAAAATTACTATGTTAAAAAATTTTTCGTTATAAGTATTTTGTTGTGTAAAACCCCATGGTTGGCATATTTTTAGGCATGTAAATAAAAAAACGCATAGATTATAAACGCAAATCACAAAAACTCATCTGTCATTGCACAGCTGATAAATATTGAGTACTAACCAAAATATTTAGTGAAAATTCGTAAATCCCTACAAAAGTTATTAAGTCGCCGCGACTTTGGTCCTAGACCACACCAATAGATAAATATCTTATGTCGGATATCGGGACAGTATTATAATATTTAGCCAGATTTTTTGGCGTTTTTGACGTTTAGACGTTTTTGACCTTTTTGACGTTCAATTATATCCGTACTTATCGCAATTTTTGTAAGATTTTGTGTATTTGTGTGTTTTTATTGTTTCTAAGGTTTGTATTATAATTATTATTAGTATTATTATTATTTTAATGTGCTTCCAACAGGCACCAGACCCAATTACAGGAGTACACACTGACACACACACAAATAAACAGCCATACCCCTGGGTGCCTGTTCTTGAATGTCAGGGAGTAGAACTTGCGAGAGAAGTGGGCGACACCGCGGTAGCTTAACCTTCAGAACAATACGCGACGTGGGAGATGTCTGATGATTTAGGACTTTAGGGTTCTCGACCTTGAGACATCTCCAACCAGACTTTCAACATCCCCTTCAAATCTAACCGTAGTACCATGGTGCTGCAGGTCTTTTTCTAAATTCTTTTCTATCTTTTGTGTATTTTTTACCAAATTTTTTAAGAGGGTTTTTTCAATTATTTTTCCCTCGAAATCATTCTTTTAACTCTTTAACATCATCATTCTTTTTTCCGCCAATTTTTCTAGACTTTTTATTCTTCTACCCGGATCAAGCTGGCCTCACATTCGCTCTGCGAGAAAAGGCCAGACAAGCTCCATGCTAATAAAAAAGGCTTAATACAAGGGACTAAGACCGTCGGAAGACTGCGCTGCTACCACCCGTACCACGCATCTTCACCGCAGGGAGGCTCAAGAGGTGGAACCATACTTCCACGCGCCTCTTTACAGCCAACCACATCACCTTTATTATTTACCTTTTTTATGATCTGTAATTATTTAATTTAGAAATATATTGATTTTGATTTTGAGAGAAGTGGGCGTGGTTTAAAAAATATATAGAATCCGGTATTCTTGAAAAAATACTACTCCCCAGAGCACTTAAAGTTCTCCAGCTAGAGGCTGAGAGAAACAGCAAACCTAACCTAAATTTGTGTAGTGTTTATTGTCAAGTTTCAAAATAAAATATTATGAACATTTTTAATTTAATTCTGTGGAATGACCAGTGATGTAATGTATCGAGATACATGTATCTAGATACTGGATCTAGATACATTTTATGTACCTAGATACGTATCGAGATACTTAAAAAAATCAGGATCTACTTTAGTATCTGTAGATCCTTTTGAAAGTATCTGGATCCTTAGATACAAGATACATTTTATTTTACCCAACCTGATTGCAACTCCACACCGTGTAGGCCACAAATAATAAAAAGATATTTTATTTCTTTTTCTCTTCAACCCACTTTGGAGTGCGAAGTGCATAAAGTAACTCTTAGGCACTAGTGAGTAAAGTTAAACAAAAGCGCTGTAGGTTACCTATAGTTGGCTTTTCTTCGTTCTGATAATTTTGAATTTGTACTACAAATTTTGTAGTAAGCTTTCATATGGCGAGTAAATATAAAATTTATTTCCGTTTTTCATGGATATTTCGTAAATTTTATCAAAACAGTTTTATTTTATAGATAACACGCTTGTTTATAAGGTCCAAAAAAATTTTTTTTGTCATTTAATTTTTAAGTTTTTTTAACATAGTATCTGGAAGTAACTTAGATACTTTTTGAATGTATCTGTATCTGTACCTAGATACTTTTGGGAAAATGTATCGGTATCTGTACCCAGATACATCTACCAGAGAGTATCTGTATCGGTACCTAGATACTGAAAAAAATGTATCGGTTACATCACTGGGAATGACATTATTAAAAGGGATGTTCAGGAAGCGGCAGAATTGGCTATTGGGAGGGATGTTCTGCCTCAGACAAATGGACTTCAATTATCTAATAGAAAATTTGTGCAGCTATTTAGGGTGGATAAGGAGCTATTTCATGATATAATTGAAAATGTCACCCCTTTCTTAGCCGAACCCATAAGAACCTCTGCCTTTCTCCACTGTTTCCAGTCCTTACTGGCCCCTCCTGTAATTGCATTTAAAATGCACAACGCTTCTTAAAATAAGACTGTACTTATGGCATTTGTATAATTGGCTGTTAATTTTCCCTTGTACATATCGGGTCGCGAGTAAACGAAATTCACTAAAACTTGTTTTTGTTTCGAACTTAATTGTTTTGCTTTTATTTCCATTTCTGTTTTTATCAAACACATATACAGTGTATTTTTTGAATGTGTGTGATTGCGTCATCAATTGCTGAACCAAACAAAGACATTAAAATGTGTAGCTGTCTTTTTTTTTCTTTGTAAAAGTTCATCTGAAATTCTAAAACGTATCGGGATCCGCTAAACCAGCAGATGGCGACACAATTAAACGTAATTTACGACAATTTTATTTAATTAACTGAAATTTTATTAAGAAAGATTAAGAAACTTTCACATATAAAAAACAACCCATTCTAAAAAGTAACAAATATTTTTATTAATCTATAAGTTCTGCTAAATCCTCCATTTCCGTAACTGGTCTGGCTATTAAGTTATTATAAAAGAAATGGTATATTGGTGGAATATACGGTAACAATGATTGTACATTTTGAATTTTTTTTATTGAAATTTTTACGGGTTCATTGTATTTGACACTTAGTCTGTTAATCGAAGAAAATGTAGGTCTTCCTTTTTTTGTGATGCTCACCTCAGTATATTCTCCATTAACTGTGTGCTTGACAAAAATTGATTTTGTATTTTCAGCTTTAAATAAAAAAGAATATACACCAGAAAAGTTCATATTTCCCCCTTCAATAGTTTGGGTATTCTTCTTAATGTTGGCTAATATTGGATCGAAGTTAAAGAAGTCGTCTGGTTCCATTACCGTGACAATGAATGGGCTTTTGCTGTTGGCTTCCCTAACCACTGTGTACCATCCTTCGGGTGAATAAATCACCGGT